GAGAAGACAAATGCTAGACAATGAAGATGTAGTTAGAACAGGGACACCAAGCCAAGAAGTTGGGACTTTAATAGGGACATCAAGAGTCAAGGAAGGTTTTCACCATGGGAGAAACAAAATTGAAGTGCACGTTAAAGATAATTAATTTGGAGGGAATGTGCAGGAATGCCTTCCGTTTGATTTGTAAGCCTTAGGCGCTCTTCCTTCTCGAGCCTGCCACACCCTGTATCGAGCGCGACAAAGGGCGCCCACACCCCAGAGTAAATATATTTACACGTCATGTTTGAGTTGACTTGATTTACATTTGACTCGTTGACATAATTTTAGCATTCGTAAATGTTTGTTCATTTGGATTTAGCAGTTTTCTTTTTCTGTTTGAGAGCCAATGTTTTTGTAGGCCCCTGAAGATCCTGAAGGCCTCAGGCTCTTTCTCCAGAGGGCAGGATGGACAGAGTGGCTCTACAAACAGAAAGGCTCCGAGGACAGGGCATTAGACCCATGTGAACTCTTTAATACGTTAAAAAAGTAATGTGAACATGGAATAGACCTTTAGGATTTAAAGCATTAGATTTACAAAACAACACACACATCTGAGAGGTTGACACAGTCACCCATTCAGATAAGATGTGTGTCCTTAAAGTAATTTTATGGTCAAAAACTAATTTGATTTTAAAAATTCGGGTGAAAAAACTCTTCAAAGCAGACAAAGTAGGATCCCAGCTAACTGGTTTCTTCCTCTGCTTTTACATGTCTTGACTAATTTCATCTTCAATTTGTTAATTTAGGGATTGTGGTTTATACATCAAATATTCATTTAACTATGATTTTCCAAAGTATAAAGAAATGATCATTGTTTTGTGCTGAAAATTGTGTTCTATTTAAAAGTAGAGATATGATCACACAACATTCATTGTAGAAGGAGATTAAACCAAAGAATTTCAGCCTAAATATAATAAATTGATTTTTGTCATTGTTTAGTGGCTTAATAAGAGTGATTAAGTCAGAATCGTAAACTATAAAACTTAATCTCTCAAAGCACTATGAAAATTAGAATCTTCACAAGATGGCAAACTTGCCCTCGCTTATTTAATGCTAAGCTAAAAGAAAATTGCATTTTCGTTATTTATTTTTGTTTATTCTATTTTTCAGTCAAATTTTTTGCTACTCTGAGGTTTTCTTCCACCATGTAATAGATTTATGGAAAATGTTATATTAAACCAAAAAGATTTGAATTTTTTAAGAGGCCATGGTTATTTTTTACTGAACAGTTAGTGAATTTCATAGGTATGTCTCCAAGGGTAAATGCTTATCTTTTTTTCTCATTTGTTTTTTTGAATTTATTCACAAGTTTTAAACATCAAAGTTCGACCTTGTAGTCAGTCACCTCACTTTGTTACTGAATCGACTTCCATATGACACCTGAGCCGGCCCATTTGCGCCTTCTGTGGAATTTACCACCTGCTCTGTAAGGCTGCAGTGATCCCCCTGCCTACAATAGCCAACACTGACATGTTCATTTAAGAACCCTTAATGTTTAGTAGATTATCTTCAAATGAAAAAAATGTATGTGATAAAATGCAGTCAACAAATTCTTTTTAAGCAATCATTGTGTCAGAAGCACTACGAAGAATCACAAAGAGCCTTCAACTCTCATCACTATCTTCAAGAAATTTATAATCTGAAGAGTTTAGGCATTTATTTTTTTAGATGTGACTATAAACTAAAATGTCTCCACAAGCCACCTGTGAAATGGATCCCCTTGGTCTTTAAGAGCAGAAAATGTATATACTAATTTTATGCATTTAAAATTTTAATGCCCCTGTATTATAATATTGTCCAGTATTTGCTTTTAAGGTTATGTTTAAATTGCTGAAAGTTACAGAAACATTCATTATTCTTAAGATCAAATGAAACCCTGCACTGCAGTCTGTCTGCTCATCCATAATGCAGGATCCCAGCCTAAAACATTAGGCTCAGACAAGCAAAGGTGAAATACTGAATGGCTACAGTAGCAGCTAAATTATGCAGCAATCTGTGTGTGGTTTTCATCTTCTAGCGTTAGAAATAAAAATTAAAAGCATAAAAACAGCCAACAACTATGGTCGTAAACTAAATAAGCAAGAAAGGAAAGCTAAGTTGCCATTATTCAAAGCTATGTGCTTTTTCTTAGTTATACATGGATCTGATATGACACTAAAATCCAAGAGGGGGAAAGCACTTATTATTCAGATTATCTATCCAGGCAAAGAAAAGGGGATTCTAGAAGGATGTTCTTACAGATTTGAACTTTGAAAATAGCAACTCTGGTCCTATTTAAGTGAATAGAAAATTATTTTTCGTCCAATAAATTCCTCATGTGTCTTCACTATCTGGGCAGTAATGCCAACCGTCCATTTATAAGGAACTTGGTCACTGGCTTGGCGGTTCCAGGAGGCAAGCAGGGCTACTAAATGCCCTCGAAGGAAGGCAGGTCTCCTCTGCCTGGGGAGGCTGACTCCTGCTTGGGCTCAAAGCATCAATCAGTAAGCTGCCCGGGGGAACTGAGAGCAAGAGGAGACATGCCCCTCGCCAGCTGAGTGAGCAGAACCACCCAGCAGATCAATACGCTCACAGGCGGCCCCTTTCACTAGCAGCCCTTGGTTTTGCTTCCGCTGGTGCAGGCCAGGCTAGATGTGGCTAAGACCTTGCATTTTGTAGCCATTAATACTATGTATAATGAAGTAATTGATGCTAAAAGCTAATGATAACTATCTAGTGCTCAGAAATTGTATCTCTTTCTAAATTGTAAGGTTTATTGTTCTAAATTTGTCAGTACCCTTATGATACGCTGCAGTGCTTCCTTTAACTAGAAAGGAAAAAAGTAATACAGAAGTATAGTCCCTTCACCATGTAATAAAATCACTGGTTTTATAGAGTACAGAATATATATGACCATTATCATTCCTCCCCAAATATGAAAAATTTGCAGCAGGTTATCAGGCCTGTGTCTTCTCATTCAATTTTCTTCCAGGGCTGTTGAAACAGCTCATGGTATCACAGTATTTACAGTTTTCAAAGCACCTTTCATCTGTTATCTCACTGAGCTTAACAACAATCCCAGAGGGCTGGTCAGGAGAACAGTCCACATTTTGCAAGTGGGGGTGGGGGTCCTTAAATGCATAGATGTTAAATAGGACATCGACTGTCACATGTGAGGAATGGGGGTGGGGGCTCCAGTGTTTTCCCCCACTCCACATGCATCTCAAGAAAAACACACACTTATACGTCCACTACAAAAAATATAAAATAAAACACTAAGCTCTCTCCTCTCACCCCTGACCTCAAAAGAATTGTCATTCAAACCCAAATACAGTAAGAATAAAGTGCCTGTAGAATCATAATCCGATTCTGAATTTTTTTTTCAAATTTACTCTTGATAATTTCCCTTCATTGCCAATCTCATCCAGAGAATTTTCACATTAATAGACTCAAAGGAAAATCTGCCTCATTACCTTATCTGCCCCACAGTTTGTAAGGGACCTGTAGGTTTCCTTTCCATTATTTCCAAGATGAGGTCACTGAGACACAAAATGCACAAAATGGTTCCGTAATTAACTCCCGGGCAAACAGCCAAGACAGACACAGAGGGATGGAGCTCCAGGTTCGGCCTCCATCTACCCAAGTAAAGATGTACCACTTAAACCAGAGACCCTGGCCCTGGGCAGACCCAGCCAGAGGTTTATTCAGCCCCTGCAGGAAGTCTGCGCCCACATAAGCGAAAGAAATCTGTTCTTTCATCTGGACAGGCTCTTTCTGTGGCATCGCAAGTGGGATCCTATGACAATAAATGTGAAACAAGCACCTCTCTCACTGAAGCATCGCAGATCTGCCCCGGCAGATAGAAACGAGTAGGGCCAGGTGACTGTGGGAGCTTCTAATCGGTGGTTTCTGGTCTGGGGAGAAACTCCTAGATTCACTCAACCCCTGGTCTGCTAAAGCTGGGAGCATGTTCTGGGCCATAAATACCCAGGTTTAAGCGTTTGGTGTGTACTTAAAAGTCAAGCCCGCTTAACTGAAAATTAAGGCCATGCCCATCCAGCCCATTGCAAGCAAGGAAAGCAGGGCTATGACAGATTAATCTGACGGCTGTGGTGCAAAACCACACTGCTCACCTGCTGGAGAGTCTAGAAAATCTGAAGGCCAAACTCTAACATTATTTTTAAGCTCTCTTGACAAAGACTACAGCAAATCCCTGCTAATGTGGGATATTTTTATATCCTAAAAATAGACATTTGAAGCCTGGGAGAGGTAGCATGGGGACTGTGACAGAGAAGCAATATTTTCTCATATCTATAGATGACGATGATTTTTATGGTTCAAGAAATGTACCTGCTTAAAGAAAATTCACGATTAGGAATTAATTTATGAGCTGCCATAACATTTCATTGTTAATTCTCTCCCACAAAGCAGTTTGCCTTTAGAGAAAGGGCACTGGTAAGGAGTGGTTCCGGCCCACAGGCTGCCCCTAGCCACTGGTTCCGTCACGTCATTTCACCCTTTGGGCCTCTTTGGCTCATTTCGCTTAAAGACTTTCTGTATTTCTAAGGGCTTCCCTGTTGGGATAAGTAAGCCTCTGGTTTACCATAGCATCTGACCATAGCGTCTAGTTATCTGTTACCAATGTCCTGACAACCTCGCCTGGGCCCTGTCACGGTGTGATGGTGTATTGTCATTTGTTGTTGAAGGACAGTTTGCAGCAACTCTGAATTCCCACTGGACACTGAGTAACCATTAAGGACTCAGACACAAAACCGAAAGAAGAACTTCGTCTTTCGTCTACATAAAGAAGACAGAATCTTAAGCCCTTTTGAAAACACTGGGATAAAAGACATGTTGCTGTTTCTTGTTACGGTTTCATAAAATTGGATAAAAATGCAAGCAAACTGAAAAGGTTCTAAGGTAAGCTGTATTTAAAGCACCGTAAAAACAAAAAACAAACCACGGACGTTTCTGTCTCTTACCTTGCAGCCTTTGCATCACATTGGCAATGTCCCGAGGAGACCGAGGGGCTGTCCTGGAGGCCGCCATGGTCCCTGCTGCCCCAGAGACCCTTCACTGGACCAGGGCAGGACCAGGCCGCTGCAGACACCACCCCGGGATGTCACTAGGTCTGGGGAGTCATAATGCAATCCCGGCACCTGCAGCAGGGTGCACACAGCACCTCCAAAGGTTACCACTACTTTGTCTTCTCCTGTTTCAAGACTGCCCTCTTCAATAAACTCAGGAACCTGAAAAGCAAAGAGAAAAGATACAATATAAAAAAATCAACATAGGTCACCACAGCGTTAAAGTAAGAACCTTTTCTATTCAATTTGAATAGATGACTCGTTACCAAGTGAAATGACTCATGTAAAAATATTTATACACTGTAAAGCACTAGAAAACACCAGGGATTTTTATGATAGTTGATAAAACAAATACACACACAAGATTTATACAATAAAACTGTTAGCTAAAAGGAGAAATATTCACTTTTAAAAGTTTAAGCTATAAACTTTCTTTTTTCTCTTTAAGTTGGAAACTTCTGCATTGATCTATGAAAGGTGAGAGTTTAAAACACGGAGTCCTGTTTCTCATCGCTCACAGGCTCTCTCACCTGTGCTGTGTAAGAGGGTCTGCTTTGCACAACAGATTTTGCTGTTTCATTTGTACGCTTTCTAAGAATGAGATCAAATCTTATCTCCTAATAACAGTTTGATGAATTTAAACATATAAATGTAAAACTATTTCATTCTAAAAATTTGAGATTGAAATATTCTGATTGTGGAAGTCCAGCTAGGTCTGAGTGTCATTTCTCTCCACACAGGGAGCTTCTGAAGTAGGTTGTCAGGCTGGGTCAGGGGTGGGGAAGGCAGAAAAGACATATTTCTTCTCCCTTCCCCCTGAATTCTCTGCTTCAGTCAAGCTCAACTCATAGTTCTTTACTGGGAAGGGGAAAAAGAGGTAGGGGAGTAGTTGCTAAAATCTTGACATTGAGACATGTACGTGGAACAAGGATTTCCTAACCCTAGGGTTAGCTGAAGAGAAGGTCGAGCTACGAAGAGAATAATTGATGATACAGAGAAAAGGAGAGTGCAGAACATACCCAGAGAAAGAAACTTAACCAGGGGACCAAACGAAGGGGGCCTACGTGAGAGTGACCCTTATACCAGCTCACACTCATCTCTGCATTATGATGAAGACGGGGGAGAGAAGGAACTGGGGGGAGGGCAAGGGAGGGTGGTAAGAGCAAAGCTGTAAAGAAAACACAGCAAATGTATGCGGGAGGGTCCACCTGCCAAAGGGAGCAAAGAAAGTAAGAGGGGTCTAGGAGTGCCATCGAAAGTTGTGTTCTAACCTGAATGTATACCAACCATTGTTTATGAAGGACTGGTTAAGGCGTAGAGTGTAAGTACACTTGACTTTCAGATGCCATTATCAATACCAGTGTATAACGGTTCCTGGTTAGAATGCACAAATGCCAAGCTGACAGTGGTATCTTTGGCAGATTACATCTCAGAAAGGATGCAAAACATTGCACACCACCGCTGCCCCACGTGAAAAAGCATGAAAAAGGTGCACTGGAGCCGGAGAGGCGTTCTGGTCACCGAGCAAGTCAGGGGACCCGGGTGGGCGCAGTGAATAGCATTTATTGGTAAAAAGGCAGAGGGGGACTTCTCTTGGCTACTTGACAGGATGTCTACTAGAAGNGGAGAGGCGTTCTGGTCACCGAGCAAGTCAGGGGACCCGGGTGGGCGCAGTGAATAGCATTTATTGGTAAAAAGGCAGAGGGGGATTTCTCATACTTGACAGGATGTCTACTAGAAGCAGACCCAGTACTTGGCAGCTGCTGGGCTGGAGGGGTGCTTCCCAGAGGGGAAATAATTACTCACACTGGCCCGTCCTGCATCCCGGCCTACAGCCCTGCTGTGGTTGTGTGCCCATTGGCAGCCTTCATCTCCTGGGGGACAATATTCCACCTGCCCACATACAAAGGCTACCTTAATTTGAAAACGAGCAGACAGTGAGAACTGCCTGAGGAATCTTGAAAGTAGCTCTTCTAGGTTAGGTTCTCCAAAAGCAACACTATACCTTTCTGAAATCGATCTATCTATCTATCATCTATCTATCTATCTATCTATCTATCTATCTATCTATCTATCTATCTATCTATCATCTATCTATCTATCATCTATCTATCATCTATCTATCTATCATCTATCTATCTACCTATCTATCCATCCATCCATCTACATGTAGTATATTCTAAGGCGGGATGAAGAAGAAAATTCACTTTACTTCAGCTGCCCCACACCAAGCCATACTCAGCACTGGAGTGCACAGTGGACTAAGATATGGCCACAGCCTTCAATCAAGAATTACGAAATTAAACATGATTTTTTTAAGTCACCGCATTACAGATCACCATATTTCTGCCCTCCTCTAGTTCACATTCATGTTACACAATAGGTTAGTACTGAAATCGTTATCTATCCTTCCCTCCCTCCCTCTTCTGATGCCACATTAAACTCAGAATTTCTCTGCTGTGTCCAAATTCAGCTTACGCGTCAGCCTTCCTTCTACAGCACAAGTCATGCATTCTGAGTGTCAGAGCTCGGTGCTGGGGTCCTAAGGCGAATAAGGCTTATTATCTGCTTCTCTGAGGAGCTTAGAACATAGTGAGAGACACAGCATAGAAAAGATAATATAACGATTCCAGGGGTATGTGCAAATATAGAGATGGGGGATACAAGGAATGGGCCCCAAGCCGATCTGCAAGTTCAGAAGAGTGTCCTCGGAGGGAGCTAACCCCTGAGCTGAGCCTTGGTAAATGAGTTATAGTTAGTAAGTAAAAATATGAAACATGCATTCCAGGTAGCATGAGTAGCTCGAGCAAAGGCATGGACACAAGAAACAGCATGATTCTATGTGGAACCACCAAGCATTAGGTACTAACGGAGGACTCTGGACTCTACCAGGTGACACTCTAGACCTGAGTCTGGAGGAGTGTGCAGCCAGACGGCCATGGCCCTGTGTGCTATGCTCAGAAACTTGATCCCAACCCTCAAGGAGGCAAGAGAAAATGGTGGTTGATGGAGTTTAAGCTGGAAGTGACCAGGTATAATTTAAATGATTTTAGCTACAGTTTTTAAGGGCATATTTGAGGAAGACAAGACTGGAAAATACAGGAAGTCTACGTAGAAGGGTATCTCAGGAGCTCAAGTGGGAAATGAGGAGAGACTACAGTAAGTAGAGGGTAAAATCCAAAAAATCTTTAGGGGGCAAAATGTGCAGGACTTGGCGATCGGTCAGGGATGAGAGATAGGAAGTGGGAGGTGGGGTAGTAGACAGGGTATTTCAGACGACTCTCAGGATTCGGACTTGAGACTCTGTGGGCCATGGTGCCATCAGCGGAGCTCAGGAGTAGAGGGGCTGTGCAGGTTTTATTTCCCAATACTTTTCACTTCAAACTCTCATGTCCTTGCTTAACAATTCTTCATTGCACCTCCCACATCACCCTTCTGCAGGTCACTCTCATCTGAGCAAATGCAAAGGATCACTAAATACCCAGCCCAGGACCCACCCCCCTGCTTGAAGCCTTCTTAAACAAGTGACCACCCATACAGCGATATTTCCCCTCAGCTCCCCCAATGCTACCAGTCTATTCTATTATGCATATGATTTGTCTTATACTTTTCACCACTTTAGCCTTAGCTCACTCTAAGATCATTGCTAGTCTTATCTCACTCAAATTAGACCGTGAACATTTTGTAGGTATAGAGAACTAAGTCTTACTGCTCTGACATCCCACCTATTACACCAAGTCTGTCCGTGAGCAGATCGTAGTCCTCAATACATATTTTTGTTTTATTAAATTAAGTTCATAATGCTCTACCTCTATGAGACAACCCCCAGAAAGCCCCCTCTTCCTCACTGCAAGAGAAGTTGATGCAATATCCTTCCTATTTTAGACACAAGATAAAATATTTTGCATGTATACACGTATTTCCTCTTTTGAAAAATTCTGATACTCCTGCTTTTTGCTGATGCTTTAACTTAAGAGGACATACATTTGATAAAAAATTCAAATTAGTAAAACAAAGATAATAACAGGAGACTGGGAATTAGAAGATGTGAGTTCTAGGCCTAGCTTTATTCCAACTAGTTAGGTGATTTGGAGCTGGTTCTGTGGATGGAGGCCCTCAACAACTGCCTGTCACGGGGAGTGTGGCACCGTGAGACGCGCGCACTGTGGACTAGAAAGACATGGAGCGGAGTCCAAGTTCTGTCTCTTACTGTCCATGTGACCTAAAGAAAAGTGAACTTTTCTGACGCTCTTTCTTCATCTGTAAAAGGAAGTAATTTTATGCTAATAAGTTTAATTTTATCCTGCATAAATCAAATTTAAAACAATCAATATATAATATTCCTAACAGATTGTTTGGCATGTAGTAGAGTTTCAGTCAATAGCTGGCTCCCCTTTTCCTTCCCCCGGCCTCAGTTTCTCTACCTGCAATTTGAGAGAATAGCCTAGCATGATGAGATGCTCTCAGGTGTGCTCTTCAGTTCCCAAACCAATGGCAGCACAAGTGACAGCTCAAACAACTGCTGGTTCAAGGCCATGAGATCTTGAAGTTCACTCCTTGAACTGACTGATTGCCTAGCAATGGTTGTGGGCGTGATCTACCAAACCAGAGCATCAGAAGAAGGTCCGACACCATCAATGGTGCTCACAGTTCCCGGGGTAATTAAAAGAGTTTTAACAGATGCAGGATACTGTGAGGGGTAGGGGCGGGCGAGGGGAGCAGCCAGTATTGGGATGGAAAGACAGAGTTAGGTAGATATTGCTGGGCTGTGTACCAATTAGCAGTCTCCAAATCCCTCCAGCAGAAGGAACTGAGACTATAATGTAGCTAAGTACATCCACCATACCTGGCAGAGAGGTAAGGTTCCTGTATTTACTGTTTCACACAGCAAGAATGTATTGAGAAACTATTTGACAATGCTACTAAGTAAACAGCACTCAACCAGACAGATAAGCCCCTCTTCGAGCTTATGCCTCACAGGAAGACGTGATAAATCAACATTACAGCAAAGCAGAGTGAGTGTTGTAATGGAGACACGCA